CGTTCAAAAGGGGGGGGGGGGGGGGAGTGCTGGACCCTGTATCGCACACTGGTCAGTCATCCAACTGGCTCAAGCTAGAGTACCTGTATAGCGAGAGTATGGACAGATCGCTTCATGGTAAGCTTAGGGCCCAAAAGTGCAGCCACCCTTCTAACCAACTTCTAACGCACAAAATTTCACTGCCAGTCTGTAGATTCCAATTCTAACGAAGATGGCTAAGAAAGTACGTAAATGAGCGTTCTTCCACAAAAATGAATAAATTTATGCTAAAACTAAGTCATATACGTGCTTTATAAACGATGGTTCGTAACAATTGTATTAATAAATCGCTCTGGATAATTGAAATTCATAGGTTGGCTGCATTTCTAGGCCTTAACTTTATTCGCGGAGGCATCTGTGAAGGCCTGATGGATTTTCGGAGTTTCACATCTGTCTATACTCTCGCTAAACAGGTACTCTAGCTCAAGCACTCCATTAACCTCGAAAGTGATGTGTTCTTGCAAGGTCTGCAGGTTATTAATTGATATTTTCATCCCTTCATTTTTAGAAAAGCAAAACTTAAGTTTCAAGATAAGTTTTTACGTAATCGAGGAGTTTTAAATCATTCAAAACCTTGAAATGAGGCATATACATTGAGTTTTTTCTGATGAACTGCTGTACCTACCAATTATTAATATTCTTTTCCATGCATACAGTGCTGTTCAGTTCATTTTTTCGCAGATTCGTGCGATTTTCATGAGTGACTGCACTCAAGAATATCTAAAATCTGATCCGCAGGCAATCGTCAGTTTCAAATGCTAAGATGTTTGATTGGAAAAAAGAAAGGAAAAAGTAATCAGAGTTTAATCAAAATGAAGTTCTGGTCTATCACAGCCCAAAAATCTGAAGAATCTGTTAAGGTTGTTAAAAAATAAGCACTCACTCGAGGCACTATCGGGGAATAATATCTCCTCCTGATGATTACACAAGTCTAAGTGGGGTTGTATGGAGGAAATAAATTCCCCCAATAGAGCATGCATAACGTAGATTCCTGATTACCTCAGTTATTAGAATTTTTCCTAAAGATGAAGTAGATCTCCATTAAAATTGCTAACGGGAGTAGGCCGGACCTTAGCAATAATACTCGGAGGGTCCTAAAAAAATTCTGACGAAGCCCTGAAATTTTTTTCCAAATTTCTGTAAACCCCCTAGCATAAAATATCACTATGAGCATATTGAAGCGGAAGCTGAAAACATCAATTTTGCCCTAGGGTTGTTCATGAAAATCTGACCAACTTGACGAAAATTATCTAAAGTTTACTGATAGCATTCTGATGACTGACCGTATGAAGTATGCTCTAAGATTGAGAGTCATGTGAAATGAAAGCAAATGAAGCAGTCTCAGTGGCAATTCCCCTATCAATGCTCTCTAAATGTTTTATATGCAACATGATAAATTTAATCAATTTTTTTTTCAGTAAAAAGCGCGTTCAGAATCCACACTCATTTGTTGATTGTGATGTGCATTTCTTCTGCCTCAGCTGTAAAGGAGGTGGTGATCAATGTCCAGTTTGCTGCAAATCTCTGAATAGCTCAACATTGGTAAAACAGGAATTTTTTGAAGGTATTTTGAAAACATCCTGCTTTACAACACATGACAAAGATTTTGAGCGGGAAAAGTAAGTTGAAAATAAGTGTTCTGAAATAGAATTTTTAACTTTTAATATTTAGCAAACAAATCAGACAGTAGAGAATTTCTGAACTCCCAACTGGGGGTACTTGAAAATCTTGCCTTCTACATTTTTGAATGCCCGCCCAGTGGCCTTACAAAGTTCCTCACCACTTTAAAAGGTTGAAAGAAATAGTTCAGACCTGCGGGAAGATTAGGTCATGGGAAGATGTTAAAAATGGCACAATTTTAAGGGCTCTTCTACTTTTATGTAATCTTTTTAGAAATTGTTGTTTTTCATCCAAATTAGGAGAATTTATGGCCCTGAATATGTGGGGCCATTCAATTTTTTCTAAAGTTGGGAGGGTTACTCAGCATTCCAAAGGTTACATAAATAACAGTGAAATCCTTCAAATTGTTGTGACAGGAAAGGACTAACATACAATTTTATGGTCAATGAAGCTGTGGCATTATATACTACGCCGCGCTGTAAAATTTGAGTGAAATTGTACCAATCAGAGCATCTGGTGAAATATCATGTTACTCGGTTCATTCAGTTATTTTTCAAGTGAGTTTTGGACCTTTTCGAAGGTGTAGGTGGAAAGTAAGTCACATTTTTGGGGAAAGGATGTCTCTTGAGTAGCATGCCAAAATGCTCAATGCCTTTGTCAACAAATTTTTAGCCTCACTACCTTAGTCATTCAAACCGTTAAAAAATTAAGGTCTCAGAGAATTTTGGTCACTTAACCACATAGGTACGCTCCCCTTCAGGGCTTTGAAAATTTATTGGCCTATTTTGAGTATTTTTACATGTTTTATCGCATCTTTTACATCATATCGTTCACCTCCTGTAAAAAGAAATTCAATATCACAGGCCAATATTTTAGCTTCAAAAAAATCTGAAATTCTCGGAATTTTTCCATCTTTTTCAATTTGAGAGGTTGAACAAAAAATAGATACAGTAAAATCCTATTTTTATCGTCTCCTCTCTTTAGTAACACTTCAGAGTAGAGTTCTTAATCCTCAAAATCCTGTATTTAATCAACTCATCGATCAGCATTCCAATGAAGCTGCAATTAGTTCGGGTTACGAATACTCATCCAGAACTCGAACAGCAGGTAGCACGTTTTCGCTGAAGATCCGAGAACTTGTCCCGGAGCGGTTGGATTTTCCCTCCGAAACTCATTAGCAAAGCCGCTGCTTCGGGTTCGAAATATTCGAAATTATTATATAAGACGCTGGTATTCTATCACCTCATTTGAGCGAATACCAAATGGCCTGGCTTTTGTAACAGATCTTCGGATCTAGTACGGTGGGTACGATCGAATAATGGCCAAAACCCTTCACTTTTTGATTGGAAATTGTCGCTTTCAGGGATCATTCTTATGGTCATAAGAAGCCCTTTTAGAAGGGGAACCACTCCGGGGTCCGTGCAGGAACCAAGATGGCCGCCAAGCGTTTTTTCAGCGCGCTTTATCTCGGAAACTACGTGTCCGATTTTTGTTTTCTTGGTCTCGTTTTGCATAGAGAAAAAAAAGGAGGTGTTTGCATCTTGAGGTTTGTTTACCCTATGACGTAGGTCGGTACAACCTGGCCAGCGAAATCCAGAATTCGAAGTATGAATAACGGACCATAATGTCCCATTTTTTGGCTTAAATTAACTCATGATATAATTTCAAGCACTTTTTGTAGAATGACTTTTTTCCGTTAATCACACCATTTCCAAGAAAATCGATGATGAACGCCGCTGTACCGACCTACGTCATCAAAAAAATTCCAAGATGCCCGAAATGCAAACGTCTCCTTTTTTTTCTCTATGCTCGTTTTGAAGCTAAAATGCTCCTGCAAAAGTCTATTTCATAAATTTTTTCGCCTAAGGCACACATGAATGGTCATTAGGAAAATTTTGAAATTTCACCCAATTTTTAAGAGCGTTTAGTTATTTAATACGCGAGAAAATGGCCTTTTTGCTGTAAGTAACGGCGATGGAAAATTATCTCACATTTAATTTGATACCAAAGCAATTTTTGTGCGTCAAAAAATGCACCCGCTAGAGCAATTTAAGGGAAGCGTCGCGGTACGGGGTACGCGGTGAAAACGGCGGAATACGGGCAATTAACGTGCTACGCAAGTCATTCGCGCTATATATCTCGGCACGTTCTCGTCCGAATTTCATTTATTTGGGCTTGTTTAGAAGCTATGTTGAAAGTTAACTAGTCTAACGGATATACTTGCAGCTTTCCTCCGAATTTTCCCGGTATTTTTCAAAAAAACAGAAAATGTTCAAAGTTCCAAAATTAACAACGACGAATAATTTTCAGTCGGGTGGAGAAACAAACCTCCTCTCGTATTTTGTAGAAAGATCATTCTCTGATGTTTAAAATGCCATAACCATTTTTGTGCTATGATAAATAATTCCATGAGCTCAATTTTAAACGCAACCCCGTGGCAAGCACTTTCCGTTGGTAGGCGTTTTGACCCGATTCATCGCCACGACGTGCCTTATGCAACCTAAGTGGACGCGACCTTGCGTGATTTCCCGGATTGTAAGATAGACTTTCGATAAATCGCCGTGTGTAGAGGGTTATCTCCCTTCCCATAAAACTTAATTTGTTTATCAGGATGAATTTTCATCGGTGTAGTCGGTATATACGGAGGGGAAAAGGGACAGAAATTCGTATTAATCAACATGAAAGAGTGTTCTCTTTTGGCCGTATGGGGTATTTGTTGTCTGGAATAAGACATGATATGAAATGGTTTGGGAGATCAACGAGCTGTTTTCGATGTTTTTTCGGGAAGTTTTGCAATAATGTAGGAAAGGTGGAAAATGATAGGATTATTTTGAACAAAAACTTAGTTTGTACGTATAAATTCATTTGTAAATCTTGAAAGAATATCAACATGAGTTTGAATTCCGTAATTTATTCGGAAAACTACTCAGCAATTCTCTAAAACTGTAGTGATTTTTCTTCCCTGTCTGGGGAAATTTCTGTGAGAATTTCAAAGAATTATGTGGACTTACTCTCCTTTGAAAAAATCAAATAGGAGCGGCGATTCTAAAATACGGAAAACGAGATGCAAGGTTTAGGAGTTTCACCGTTGATACGTTATGCCTTAAGTAGAGAACTACCCGACTCAGGTAGTTCTCTTTCCCGCAACCCGAGGAATGCACCTCGATGAATACATACATAAAGCCGCTTTCACAGCGCAGCCCCACGCTCTTCGACGACCAATCGCAGTACAGCTTGATGAATTCTGTTGTAATCTAGCAATAATAATACAATCAACTATTAAACTGCGATAATTCGCAGTGAAATCATCCGTCTTGGGACTGCTACCTTAAAAAAAAAAATGACTCATGTTTCGCTCCTATTTTCTCTTCTTCTAATAAAAAATCCTCCGCTTGAAACTTATGTTAGCAGTAAGCGTACTTCGATGCGCTTCACTTGAGTTGCATCATGTGTTGCTTGTCGCACGTGTCAATTCTAATTGAAATCTAAAGACTACAATTATGTTTACGATTATTCTCTGACAACTAACTATGGCAAAAACCACCTGGTTAGCCGCACTTTAAGGATCTACAAGTCAAGTTCCTCCTGAATTACCGTTTTCAGACATCATTCGTCTTGTTCAGAAAATGGATATGGATTGCTTTTGTTGGCTACTAACCTATTTTGAATTTACACTTTGTGAATATAGCGAGAACCATCATAGTTTTATGTTATTTTTCAAAAATTTAGACAGAAGATCTTATTTTGTCCATAAATTCCCCCTATTTTGGACCACTATGTGATGAAAATTTGTATAGATGAACAAAATTTTATGCATTTAGGATCGATAAGAACATTGTTAGCCATGAATTCTGCAGGAGAGCAACAACTTTACTTTCATTTTTAAAAAGTTTGACAAAGAGTCCTGATTTAGCCACGATTTCCACTCATTTTGGACCATTGTGTGGTCAAAAGTTTTGAAACTGAACACAGTTTTGTGTATGGGGGCCCAACAAGAACATCAACAGCCGAAACACCCCCAAAGGTGTAACTTCTCCATACATTTTCACGTCGTTTTTGCTGTAATAATGCTGTCAAGAAAAATGGTGATTTGACAACGTTGCCCCCCCCCCTCTCCATTACTCAAAAACCGCTCTTTTACGCAAGCTAAATATTTTACCAGAATTTAAGGGTATCATAAGGTATCGTTTGGGCCCGGTTTCAGAAAAATCCCCGCGGTGTGAAATTGCACCGAAAAAACGACCGTTCTTAGGTCGCTTTTTGGCAACATTTGGATGCTAATACTGCGTTGTTGCTGAGAAGGGCAACACTTTATTGTGGTGTTATAAAATCTCTCTCTTATTTTTCTATGAGAAACTATCTAATATTATTATACACCATAATTTTCAGAGAGAATTCCTCATTCAGGAAGAAAAATTATGGAAGTTCACCTGAAAGAAAGAAGTATGGCAGAAAGGCTGCAACCCTAAAAATCGAGATACGTGGTGAAGGGATTACATTGTCATTTTAGACTCTGAGACTGGCCTGAGCTATTACGAAAGGAAAGCGAAACACCCTGAGTTTGATAACAACAATACATGCCCAAAGTAGTTTACTAACCAGATTTACTAGTTCTCACAAGAACACGCTTTTAGAAGTAGAGGGTTTCAGTATTATAATTTTTCCGTACAATTTAACCTAATTATCAGACTCTTACGACAATAATTTATAACTCAGTGGCCAATGACAATAGGACACCCTTTTAAGTTCAGATAATTGGTTGTTTCCTACTTTATATTTTTTCTTTTCTTTCAGAGTACCTATTCACTTGGTAAATAAGCTTTTTTATGAATTCGAGCGTATTCATGATCTTCATTTGGATGGATTTGCAGCGAAAACTCGACCGAAAATATCGAGAAAAGCAGGAAGGGAGAATGGAGTTTTAAGTAGTGAATCGTCATCTAACACTGTGCAAATAAAGCTGAATTTTTTGTCAAATAAGGAAGAAAAAACCCCTAGCGACGAGATAAAGTTGCAGGGCTGTGCAAAAACCTTGTGTGAAAATGCCCAAAAATTGAGTCAAAGTAAATCTCCTGAAGCCAGAAATCTCGACTCAGAATTAAATGTTAGTCCAGGCAACCTGAATGCCGTAGAAAGGAAATGCAGGGAATCGTCTAGCTCTGATGCAGCTATGAATTCATCCAGGAAAAGAAAATTAACATCAAACGCATCTTATGACAAGAAATCTACAAGTGATGGATCTCCTGACAGTCAATCTCTATTTTTACCGCATAAATATTCTAAAAAAGCAACACCAAAAATGTTGAATGAATCAAAAAAAGTGATAAATGGTAGAGCAGTTGAAAGAGAAATCGACCATGAAAAAGTAAAATTGAAATTAACATCTGTGACTGGGACTGAAAAAAAGCCAACCATGCAAGTAATGGATTTGAGCTCTCCCTTTGTCAAATTAAACGACTCAAATCCAATTATAAATTCTAAGGACAAAAATGACAAGAGCATTATAGAGAAGGACAAAAAAAGCAAAAATGTATTTAAAAAAAACGCTAAAGGAGAAACAACATTGCATATTGCATGCCGGATGGTAAGTTCTTGATTTCACTTTTGATGATAAGAACTCTTAAACAGCAGAATCTTTCCCCTCTCTTGGAAAAAAAAAATGAGGTGGAGTAAATGAAAATAGGAGATACCTTTATATTTTGATCCTTACTTGGGATTATCATTTTACAAGGGTGAGTAGTGATAGTTGATGACATAAACCTTTCAGAACAACAAACCTAATCACAAACTTTTTTTTCTTTTTTCGTTTTTTGTCATTGGCTTATTGAGTCTACAGCCATCTGTAGACCTTATGTAGTGAAGGGATACCAAGTAACATGTGTAATTCTTGAATGTATCTATCGCCCTGATGTCTGAGGAGACGATTGATACATCCATGCTGTAGGCTGCTGCAAGGCTCTAAGGAGTATGGCCGAGTGAAGTCTGTTTGAGCTCTGATCAGTTCCGTGAAAGTGTGTTGCCTTGCCTCCACAAGGAATCAAATTTTGAACCCATGAAACAAGAAGTACACTTGCTATCTGTAAGGGTAACCTACGGAGCGAAGAAAAAATTTTTTTCGATGCTGTGGAGGTACGAACTTTGGGTCACAAATGAGGAAACGACTTGATACCTGGTCTTACTTTTTAGCATTCGAGAAATAATCAGTCAGTATTTTTGTTCCTTCCGCTTACATATTTAAAGTAAAATTGGATTAATATCGACTGAGTAGGAACAATTATAACAATACCTAAGGGAAGCTGTACAGGGTGTCCCAAAAGTCCATACCCCCCTGGTAACTTTTCTAAAGGTTAGAGATAAAAAAACGAAACTTTAGGAATGTTTCTATCTCAAAGGAGACCATCTTCTAGAGGGGTCATAATTTTTGCCCCTCCCTCAGGGGGGTCCTCCAACTTTTTTTCAAGCGGTAACCCTTATCTTGTGATGTATCATTGGAAAGAACATTAAAAACTAAGAAGTTTGGCGAAAACCGAATATCAATATTTTAATTTTTGACTGATTTATGATAGGACATAGGTAAAAGTTGACCGATTTTCAAAAATCATAACTCCGGTTCAAATTATGGTAGAGGAAAAAAAGGGGAAAATTTAGCAAAGTGTAAGCACTTTCAAGTAAAAATTACAGAAATCACTTCAAACTAATTTTAAAGGGGATTTTGGACTCCCAAATACGTCAGTTCAAAGATCATACGATTTTCCTGCGAAATGAGTCAATTTTCCCTAACTTTGCCTCAACATATCTCAGTAAGTTCAAAAGTAGTTCAACTTTGCATTTTCAAATCTCCAAATTACGAGCAGAAGTTTGAAGAAACGAAAAGACGGTCAAATTTAATCCCCTTAATTGTCGTTGTCTTTTTTTTAAGCTTCTGTTCGACATTTGGAGACTTGTAAAGGCAATGTGAACTAATTTTGAACTTACCGAGAGATATTGAGGCAAAGCTAGGGAAAATTGGCTCATTTCGCGGGAAAATCGTATGACCTTTGAACTGACGTATTTGGGGGTCCAACCCCCCCCCCCCTTAAAATTAGTATGAGGTGATTTCTGTGATTTTTACTTAAAGGTGCTTATAGTTTGCCAAATTTTCCCGTTTTATTTTTTTCTCTTCGACAATTTAAACGGGAGTTAAGATTCTTAGGAAATAGGTCAAAATTGACCTTTGACCTATCATTAATCGGTCAAAAATTAAGATATTGATTTTCGGTTTTCGCCTAAATTCTTTGTTTTTAATGATCTTTCCAATGAAATATCACAATGTAGGGGGTTACCATTTGAAAAAAAATCGGAGGGCTCCCCCCCCCCCCCCCCC